ACCGGTAGAGTTCCGTTTGAAAATCTGATAAGATGACCGTTGCACTGCAGAGCGGCCATACTCCGCGCTCGTCTAGCGCCTCCCATCTCTCCCTCCCCTCCCCTCCCCTCTCCCGTCTCTACTCCGTGTCTCTCCTCCCATCATTGTCAATACTCCTGCCACTTCATCTGTGGTGTCTCCACTCCGTCTTCCCCATTGTGTAACATTTTATTCTGGTGTGCTTTTTCTCCTCAACGCCTAACACTACAATCATTCATAATTCAGATCTCAAATCCAGGTACATATCAAATATCAAAATAATTCAATACAGTATCATTTAAATTTCAAATGGTCTTCCTTCAGGTGCTTCGTCTTCTCTTCCTTTCTCTTTTTCGGTCCATTCTTCTTCCAATTCCAATCTTCCTCCCATCCACTCCGTCTTGACTTGCCTGCTCTTTCTTGATCCTGGTGTTCGCCCCCCCTCGCCGCCGCTGTGGCCGGGTGTTGTTGTTGGCCGTGGCTGCCTGCAGCGCGCAGCGCGTCGTCTGCTGGCTTGCCGGGAGGCGGGCCGCCGCTGGCTGGGACGTCATCGACGCAAGGCGTGGCCGGCTCGGGTGGGGTCGCATCCGAATCGTTCCCCTTAGCCGCCCCGGGCTGCGTCCGACATGCGGCTCGAAGGTGTCCCCTAACCCCACATCTTCTGCAAGTCTTGGGTTGGCCAGGATACTCGATTTTCGCTTCTGCATTCTCCACGACAATAAAACTAGGGACATCTTTTTCAAGTCTCACAATAGCAGTGCGATCACCATTCTTGATGCCCTTGAAGGGGCCGTCTTCATATCGGTTTTCGGTCACCAGAAAAACACTTCCAAACTGTACAAGAGCGTCCGTAACATCATCAATCGAAAGTTCTGGGGGCAGGTTCCGAACTCTTACCTTCACAACTTTTCGGCCATTCAGAGTCACCACAAAGTAACATTCAGAGCCATCTTTTCTTTTGAACACATACATATCTTCGGAGGGCATCTTGTGCGCTGACCTTGCGTGCAGCTTCAAGTGAACGCAGGCCTGGGCAGAATCATGTTGCAAACAATCCAGGTCCGCAGTGCTGAGTCCAAGCAGATTCATATAAAACAGCAAGTATTCATCACTTTTATCACAGTCGTCGCCGAACCATAACGTCACAGTGTTCACACGTTCCATCTCAACAGTCTTCACTTTCAATTCAGATCAAAACATTTCTTCACAACACAAACATTTCACACGAGCAGCTGCTCTCGGGAGCTGAGACCGGCGTCCGTCTCCCGTGGCGGTACGGGCCAGACTTGGTAGGGTTGTGGGTTAGGGGACGTTTAATGTAATGGACACGATAATTTTCTTTCGTTTTCGGTTTTTGGAACAAAATAAAATGTTTGTTTAAATTATTGCGTCCCTGGCATAGATAAATTTTCTGTTTTAGAGGATGGATTCAGATGAGTGGTCTGATTCGGAACAGGGGGCAAATCAGCCAGCTTTAAGGAAACGAAGAAATGAGCACGGGACACCGGTCAAGAAGAAGAAAATTAGAAATGTAATGCCTAAATCTGATGACAAGAAGCAGCAGGGACCTAAGAAATTTCAGAAAGGCTGGCTTACTGATGAAGAATTAAAACATTGGTTGGAGCCCGTGCCAGACAATGAGTTAAAAGCCAGATGCAAGCTGTGTGACTCTACTTTTTGTGCTGGATAAAGTGAATATGAGAAGAATGCCACCACTTTAAAACATCAAAAAAATATGAAAGCATTCAAGAATGTCCCTTCAGTTGCTGATATTTTTAAAGGCCCTAACAAAGAAGAAATCATTTCAGAAAAGGTGAAGAAAGCTGAGATTGGAGTTGCTGCATTTTTTACTGAGCATAATGTTGCACTGCAGACGTCTGACCACCTTATAGAGATGCTAAAAAAACATGTCACTGACTCTGAAATTGTAAAGAGAATGACATTGGATCATACAAAGTGCACAGCAATAGTAAAAAATGTTTTGAGAAAAACAGAAAAGGAAAACCTTATTGCTATTTTGAAAAAAGTAAAGTTTTCCATACTGGTGGACGAGAGCACCGACGCTGGACAAAAGAAAAACATGGTCATACTTGTTAGATACACGGATCCCGAGACAGGTAAGCACATATGCGATCCGCTCACGGCTGCGCTCGGTCTGTCGATACCCCACGCCTCATAGTAATGTTTCTTTTTCAGGGAAAATTACTGTTCCCCTCCTGAGCATTATCGAACTAGACGCCACGGACTGTTCAGCGGAGGGAATGTTCAAGAAGTTTGAGGAAGAGTTCATTAGGCTGCAAATTCCGATCACCAATATCATTGGCCTGGCCATGGCCAGTGATCACGCCAATGTGATGCTCGGTCAGCACAACTCCTTTGCTTCACGTTTGAAGCAGCGCTGTCCCTGGCTAGTGGTGATGGATTGTGTGTGCCACTCGTCACACATTGCTGCTACGAACGCGTGTAAAAAACTCCCTTCAAACGCGGTCACTTTTGTTCGAAGAGTGGCAACGTACATGTCGGGAAGTCCAAAAAGAAGTGCTATTTTTGAGGAGTTCCAGGACTTCTACAAAACTGAGCTACTTAAGATCAAGAAAGTGAGCGCCACGCGCTGGCTCGTACTGCACCCATGTGTCGTTAGAATCTTAGAGAACTGGGTTCCGCTCCAACAGTATTTCAGGTCCGTCGTTCTGGAAGATTCGAAGGGGAAGGACCAGGAGGCCGCAGCGCTGTTGAAAGAGTTCGATAATCCATATACAAAGGCTTATATGTATTTCTTGAAATACACACTGGAGTATTTCAATAAGATGAATGGATTGTTTCAAAATGAAAAGACTTTGGTGCACAAGTTGAAGGAATACTCAGTTTCCCTTCTGAAGCAAATATGCTCGAATTACATGCGGGAGAATGTGTTGGCTTCCATTGCAACCATCGATTTGGCTCATCCACATTTCCAGGTAAAAGATTTAGTACTAGGATTGAAACATAAAATTATGTACAGGGTGGGTGTTTCACACCGTGGTTTTTTCCTGCTTTTACTGTACCGGATTAATGCGTGCGGGCGGGATTGCCTATCGTCGCTCGCCATGGCGCCTTACGGCCCGTACGAGTATGCAACCCGTCCGCACGCATGAATCCGGTACAGCATAAGCAGATAAAAAATCACGGTGCGAAACACCCACCCTGTATTTCCCTGTATTTTTATAACGTTTTTAATTTATGACTTTCAGATTCCTTTGAAGCGTGTATACCTAGGACCGCACGTCGAGGAAACCCTCTCCTCGATCGGACGTCCGGACGCGGATCAGCATGACCTGAACACTGAGGAGAAGCGTAGGGCCAGAAGCGACCAAGATATCAAGACTTTTAGATTGCGCTGCCTGGACTTCTATGTTACTGCTGCTGTAGAGCTGAAGAAGTACCTACCGGTCAACAATCCAGTAGTTCAAGAGGCTAAGTTTCTTGATGCTTCTACAGCGCTATCAGCTGCAGAGAGGCAGAGAGATTTCCCACAACTGACTAACTTGACAAGGAACTTTAAGGTATAAAAGTAAATCAAAATATATTTAGTCTTGTTGCATGCATTTTTTAAAATATCCAACAGCTCACACACATATAAATCTCTACTGTAAATGACGCGGAACTTTACTAAAAACTAGAAAGAAAACAAGAGAAACAAAGGAAACGACAAAGATAAAATTGAACTTCTGACCAAATAACAGAAGGTTAAAAATTTTTAAAAACTACATGATTGAAATTTTCCTCAATGAGGGATCGTAGCATATACGACCCTCCTTGGGGATTTCGAAAAGTCTCTGAAAACTCTCCTTATCCTGGGATAGATTATACAATTCTGTGCATAATGTGTTAGTGTTGATTCCGCTCCCATATCTTTCTTGAACTATTCTACTTATTTCAGGAATAAGGCGAGCGTTACTCAAACACTTCAAATTGTCAGCCAATGATATCCTATACTCCTCAACATGCTGAGGGTTGGTCAAATCATTTCTACCCAATTTTGAAAGAACTTTTACAACATCTGGTACAAAAGCTATTTTTTCACCGTCTCTCACGACAAACTTGGAACAGAAAGAAAGAGTTTCATATGTTAGCACTTTCACTTCAAGGTTAAACAATGACCCATAGGATGCTGCAAGGCTCCTTTCGAAAGTTTCTGGAGACAGGATAAAACTATCGTCGCCTACAAAACCAGCGTGAGCCAAGTAATTGTATTGGATTCGGTATTGGCGGTACAATGGCAATTTCTTCAAATCAAAAGTACATGCAGCAGCGGTCATGTTTACAAAGGTATTGCCGGCCAATGTCCAACTAATACCGCTCTTCATCTGTAGGTCCACAAATAGCTTAACTCCAAATTCTCGACACACCAACACGGTGTTTCGATGACTCTCATACATACCACGACACACATTTTCTGGTACACCCAATCTTCTAAAAATCCCTACAATGATGTTGATGGCAAGCAGGCCCTGACTTTTATCATACTCTGAAATATCCAATTCGGTTTTGCATGAATGATCTAGCAAATCCGGAGGAAAGGATTGTGAAAGTATGTTAGCGTATTCTTCTGGAGAGCAGTCTGTGTAAATGGAAAAGGTGGGATCTAATACATGCATTAATCTATTCATCGCTTTGCGTACATAAGGGCCAAAGAGTGCATTGCATCTCTGGTTTTGCGCTGCTATAACTTGTGGCGCTGAATAGGTGGTTATACAAGCCTGAGTAAGTGTGGGTTTGCATGTGGTTTTGATGCTCAGATCATACTTTTTGAATTCTTCATAGGTGAACGGAGCGTCATCGGTCATGAGTCCCAACTTAAAATCTTCCTTAGTCTTAACCCAGTCGTTGAAAGCTTCTTCGTCTATTTGAATAGGCTCATTTGCAAATTCTGCGAACATATCACTATACTCCGGAGCCACGTAGGTGTCAACAAATACATCAACCATATGGCCCGAAACCCAACCTTCATCAGATAATGCTCGCAATTTGGCCACGCTGCAGTTACCATGGGCAACTGCATATAATAGTTCCAGACGAGTCTTGTCCCGGATCTTCGGTACAGCCGTTCTCAGCAACGGTGACATTTTATCAAAAGAAGGAATATTTACATTGTTCCTATTAATGAGAATTTCCACATTTTCTACTTTAGGTTGGTACGTAGATGCTTCAAAATGTTTGTGGTCGTAATCATAATTGTGGAGCGAAGCCCCGGGAAAGATTTCGTCATAAACCGTCTGTAACGCGCCAATGTCAGCTACGGTTGCAGCCACGGTTGGGGCCTCCGGGTTTTCATCTACAATGTCTTCTCTAGGGACTTCATGTACAATCATGTCACTCCCTTGCGGTCCAGTGTATAGTTCAGCTATGTTAGATCTAATGGTCTCAGTTACAGCTTTTCTCTTTTCGGGCAGGCAGTCATAATTTTTCCCTTCGCCGTAAGTGAAAAATTTTTCAGGCATGACGGTCAGAGGACCGGCAGCAGTCATTTCACCGAAACGCCAGTAACTCTCTTCAACTTCGTGATTTTGGTCTCTCTGAGCCAGATGGAGATATCCTTCTTTTTTCTCCACGGAGTAGCTGTTAATCTCTTCATCAGAAAGTCTTTGAACTTTAGCTATCCATGCGTGACCTTTTCTTGGTCTTGGTGTCAGTCACATGGGAAAACACGGTAGCGCGAGAGTCGTTTGAGCTAACCTTACTACGTTTGGGAATCTCAGCTCTTTCCGGAAGCAGTACAAAGTAACCAAAGATCATTTAAGTAAGCACAATAAAAATATGTATGATTAGATACATCATAAAAGTATCATATTTCGTGCTAGTCATGGCTGCGAGACTGTAATCTGGTTTTACCCGTTGGAGTAATGCAATTACTTATTTTTATGTTTAATTTTCAAAGTGCCATGTTTGCTGTAATATTTTACTCTTTATTTGTGCCATTACTTTAATTTAATGCCTATAATTTTTTAAGCAACAGACTGCCACATGTGCCATGATTAATATCAATAAATGTGATTAAGACTGTAGTTGCTTTACAAAATTGCCGCTCAGATCGCTCCGGATATCACACAACATGTCAGTTTGACAAACATTGTAAACTAATTGACCTAGAGTAACCCGAATTTCAACAAATAAGGAAAACAGTCAGCCATTTTTCGAAAATTCCCATATTTTGGCCATAATTTCCTGAAATTCCCTTTGCCCCTTTCGCCTTCAAAATTCCCACAATATAGGAAAATTCCCACGATCTGGCAACACTGTTAAAGCTTAATTTTAACTGCATGCAAACTTACGATATTCAAGCAAACATTCATAAGGCTTGTTGCTTTTGGAAGTACGGCATTGATGTTCGTCCCATCTGTTACAAACAAATTCAACGACTCGTTCTCTGATTTCTGGACCTCGTGAAATGTCTTCAAAAAGAAATTCAATCAGGCCCATGGTGAATTTTGGAAAAATAAAGAACTCTTTGCAGAACTTTTGCAATAAGAAAATGTAATAAGTAACTAGGTAGATGTACGCCAGACCACGTCTCGCGTAACAGGCTTCGCGATATCTCACGAAACACTGTTACGCTGCGACGCGTCTGGCATACATCTACCTAGGCCTGCGGCGCTGATACCCGAGTCGGGAAGCGCTAAAATGTACACAAAGATACGGGCCTTCGGCCCGTCAACTTCCCGTCACTTCGACTAAGAATGCAGCGTTGCACATGTTTTTCGATTATTTTCGTCAAAAACTCCCTGTGGCCTAAATGGTTAAAGATAGAGCCAAACGGACGAAATTTCCGCCCATAGGGCTCTACTTTGATGAGTTACCCTTTAGGAAACTGTAAAAAAATATTTTTTTAAAACGTCATTTTCAGGAACTGTCGTTTTTGATTTTTTAAAAATCCAATTTTTGAGCTAGAATGCTCATCTTCGAACTCGATCTGTCTTTTTATGACACAGAACGACCCTGAAAATCCCAGGTCGCTAGCTGAATTCTATCTCGAGTTATCGTGACTACAGACAAACACACACACAGACAGACAGACGCGAAACTTTTTGATCATCACTGGAGTAATAGGCTTCGCTAATCGCTCAGCCAACTAAGCACCTTTTCAAGATCAGCCTACAATACACGCACTGAAGTGACGTGTACAGACTCACAGACTGAAGCTCAAAACAAAATGCAGTTTTTTTTTTTTAAAAGAGTTTCGCTTGGCCTTAAGGGCGCAGCCGACAGCACAGGTACACACAAATACAAGTACAGACACAGAGACTGGCACACTAAGTGAACAGCACAGACGACGGGGACGTGGAAACTCAGATCTGTGTGCCACTTTTCGAAACAAATTTTCAATTTATTAACAGTAATGGACAAACATAAAATTATTTTAATCTGCTCTCGATTAAATCAAATGGCACAGTTTTTAAATAAAACAATCATTGATACACATTAATTGACGTTTTATTTATGTTTTTTGATTTTTTTTAACAATTTTCAATTTTGGTATTAAATGAACAAGTTTTCCACTTTTATTCCTCAAATTTACTGCCTTAGCATTGAGTTTACAGTCGCGCTTCAAAATTATTTTTGGAGACAAGCAAAGTTTGACATCTTGCTTTGTATTCTGCATTGCTTCTGCCAAATTCTCGACGTAAGGATCTCTGACAAGACGAACAAAGGGGACCATGTTTTTCTCGGCCCCCTCTCTAACAGACGGTGTGGCAATGGGTTTAGAACCAGAATCGTGTCCCAAACTCTCTTCAGCAAGCCGTTCCTCTTCGGGAGACGTCACAGATTCTCCGTCGGGAGAAGGTAACGGTAAGACCTCGAAGGAAGGTGACGGTAACACCTCTCTATTTGGTGTGAATGGTGTCAACGGCCTATAACCAGAGTCATCTCTCTCGTCCTGAATAGGAAGACTTGAGAACAGTGCATCATTTTCATCAGTAAGATGAAAGGCACACACTGCATCCAATGGTAAATTTTCTGTCTCTAGCGAGACGCAGTTATCACTTTGCGAAGACATCTCTGAGGCGAAGCCGACAATACCAGCACAAAGTGCTAGGTACAGACTCACAGAATTGCACTCAGAGTTTAAAGCACAGTATTTTTCAAGTTTCTTTTGGCCTTTTGGCACACACTTGACAAACACAGTTTTCAGCACAGACGACGGGAACGTAGTAACTTTGTACTGCACTGTATCGTTTTTTTTTTGTGTTTTTTTTTTTTGGTGTTTTTTTTTGCCGTGCTTTCCTTTGCAGCACGTTAAAGAGGTGCCCCTGCCCCGCACTCTCCGGTGGAGGCCTCCCACCATTATTGCCTCCTCCCTTCTGATATTGGATAGGGGTTAATTACTTTCCCTTATCCAAGTTTAACAAGTTAAGTCGGTGCCCAACCTCGCACAGACCAGTAAAAGCCAACCAGATATTATGCTTTTTCCTAAGCCGCAACTGACGTCCAGTAAGCTTGTAACTCTTCGTGCATTATTCCTCCTTTTGGCCACAGTAAACGAGATTTTGCAACACTCGTTCACGTGTTTCCAGCACGAACTTCAACTTAAGAGGCTTACTGCCAAAGTTTACTGTGCAGGACACCTGAAAAGCAGATCTGCCAGTGAGCACCGTCCCTTCCCAGATCTGCCAGTGTTGGCCAGGCCGGCGCAGAACCGCCAATGTTACGCCACTTCTACAGGCAAGTGTTGGTCTTAAGTTATTGACAGAACAATATTCTTTCAATTTGTCGTGTGCCCCAACCTCGCACACCGACGGTGATGGCCATCCATATTACTGCCATCTCCCAAACTTTTTTTTTTACTATTTTTTTTTT